GGGGTTGGTCCAATCACATTTATTTTTATGCATCTTTGTGCTGATGCGATCTGGTGCAGAGTGTGTTTGTGCCAACAGACACGTAAATCTTTTTTACAAGAGGATAAATTTACTTTATTGTATAAAGGCTGTGGGCCAAAGTGAACACTGCATTGTGTCTGTAAAAACATTGTTAATGATAAAGAGCACGTTATCTGCTGACAAATTTAAGAAATGTAGAACAACATAGAAACTGGTACTTCAAGTACAGGCATTGGAATTAAACTATATATGACACCTCTTTCCAAAAAAGCCAAAAACCTTATGAGCATGAGAAAGATTTATTTGCTTTCCTTGCTCAGTGTATTACAGTGTGTTGAAGCACCAGATGGTACATTTGACATTCAAGTACCTCATTCTGTCAGCACTAAACCTGAAGCAGGCGCATACAAGTGGGTATAGGTTATTCATACATATATACCTTAACCATCGCTCTTCAACTTCCATGCAGCTAACCACAGGAAAGTTCACATATTCACTCTGAGAACTAAAGAATCCTGTCTGAAAGAAGAAGAGGGTGAAGATGAGAGTTGCTCTAGACGAATGCTTCTCAAATGGCGTCAAAAGCAATATTATTCTAAGATCAAGAGGCAACCATTTATTAATAATACATTTGTCAAACAATACAGTTCAAAAAGTTTGGTGTCAGTAATATATATTTTAAAGAAATTAATACTTTTATTAATTAAGGACACATTTATTGATGACAGTAAAGACAATATATGTTGTTATAAAATATTTGAAATAAGTCTTGTACTTTTGAGCTTATTATACTGAAAGAAAAATGCTCCATGGTTTCCACAAAACTATTAAGCAGCACAACTGTTTCCAACACTGATAACTATAAGAAATGTTATGTTTAATGAGCACAAAATCAGCATATCAGAATGATTTCTGAAGGATCATGTGACTCTGAAGACAACAGTAACGGCTGCTGAAAATTCAACTTTGCCATCATGGGAATAAACAAAACTTAAAAATATATTAAAAGAGAAAACAGTTAAAACTGTAATAATATTTATCAATTGTACTGTTTCTACTGTATTTTGATCCAATAAGATACTTCTTTCAAAAACAGTTTAAAAAAGTGCTTATTTATAAATAAGTGACCACACAGAACACATTATCATTTATCATCAAGGACGCTGGGATGTCTTATAATTTGTCTAGCTTCTACCAAGTGACAATTTTCAACATATCAACAATAAAAGATATACGATCAATATTCTCTCATAAAGTTATCCTAATTATGTACTATTATATGGTTAGTTCCATCTTATTAATTGCATTGAGCATTGTTTTTTCCCCCCGTGCATCAGAACAGACTTCTGATTTTAGGCCATGATCCAGCAGTTGAGAAGCACTGTAGACCGAATGACGAGCTTAATAACAAGTCCTAACTCGTTACATAATGCATCATCGTTAGATTGACCGACCGGCATTGCATCAGTTGGCAGTACACCAGAGCCTGGCAGACTCCATGATAATCCTGGATTTCCCTGCACAAGCTGTGACATATATGTGCCCTTACTTCCAGGAAGCAAACCTCTTTGACGAATACGTCATTAAAAAAGTCTTATAATTTGTCTAGCTTCTACCAAGTGACAATTTTCAACATATCAACAATAAAAGATATACGATCAATATTCTCTCATAAAGTTATCCTAATTATGTACTATTATATGGTTAGTTCCATCTTATTAATTGCATTGAGCATTGTTTTTTCCCCCCGTGCATCAGAACAGACTTCTGATTTTAGGCCATGATCCAGCAGTTGAGAAGCACTGTAGACCGAATGACGAGCTTAATAACAAGTCCTAACTCGTTACATAATGCATCATCGTTAGATTGACCGACCGGCATTGCATCAGTTGGCAGTACACCAGAGCCTGGCAGACTCCAGAGCCTGGCAGACTCCATGATAATCCTGGATTTCCCTGCACAAGCTGTGACATATATGTGCCCTTACTTCCAGGAAGCAAACCTCTTTGACAAATACGTCATTAAAAAAAATATTTTCAAACCGTTTCATTATATATTGGCCATTTATGGAATTGCTGATGGTGACTGGTAATGTGATCAAATCTGCTATCTGGATTTATCATACGTTTTATACAAGTTGCTTTGCATTACTATGGGGAAAACAGGCCTCTGCATGATGTTGACTGTTTTGAATATGAAATGTGTCTTTCTGTCAGTACCAAAAAAAACATGCATTGGGTAAGTTACATGAAAAAAGCCATAATGAAAATACAAAAATGTTGAAATTAAGAGATATTAAGGAATAGTTCTGAGATACAAGTCAAAACTAAGACACAAAAAGTGGTCATAATTTTAACTTCATGTCATAATTCAGAATTTTTCTTTTTCTCATAATTATGAATTAATACCTCAATTTGACTTATGTCATAATTGTGTTTTTTTGTCATTACAATTTAAGAAGCCAGTTTTTTTCTTGTAGCAGAAGTGAGCTTCCATATTTGTGTCTCAAAATAGATATGAAGCCCTGACCAACATGCAGCACATTCACACAAACATACAAATACATGATTCACAATAATATGAGAAATCCAGAACTGTTCAACATGAGTAAAACATCTCTAGTTAAACTAAAATATGCCTAGAAAACACAGAGGTCTTATCAATGATGCAGCGTCGTCTGAAAATGATTTCTCCTCGTTTGAAGACTCACTATTTCAAAGGGTGCATGTGGGATAAAAGCTTTTGCTGTTGCCATAGCAATGCAGTCAGCTGCATGACATCAAATAACGCTTTTAACATTAGCTACTGCTGACCTAGAAAGACCTATGAATATGAAGACCCACAAGGCATCAAAACCAACAACTCATGAAAAAACGAAATCACACACATATCTAACAACCCAAGGTTTAAAGTACATAGATATGCTTTTTTAAAAAGTGTGCCATCATGAGATTTGTCAAAGTATAATAAACGATAGCTTCATAATGTTTGTATATTGTATTAAAGATGGATAGCTATCCTCTTATAATGAAATCAAAAGGTACTTCTTGTAGAGCTTGTAAGACTTTCTCCAACTTCCCTGTCATGCTGCTAAATTTGCCCAGCTCATTATGTTGGTGGTCACTACTGTATTATTCAGATGGTTCCATGAGCAGATGTGTTCTAAATATAAAGCTTGTCCTTAACTGGTCCAACGAATCAGACACCCCCCCCCTCAAAACTCACAAATACTGATTAAAATTCCAGAGCTCCAGCCGAGCTGTCCTGCCACTGTCATGGGACGCCAACCTAAATCAACAACCTCGGGCAGCTAGTCAATCATCAGTCAAATGTTCATGATACACTAATGGAACACAAATTGTCTCTCATTTCTGACGCACTTGCCATGACTATTATGCATGTGATTCTCTTGAAAACAATAATAATAAAAAAAACATTTTTACAAGTATAAAAGGAACTTTTTCACCAACAACAGGCATTTGACTTGGCATGTATGTATGTAGCAACAATAGACTAATAATTAACCAATCAAGTGTGCTGTAAATATTACATATAAAAGGGTTCATTTAGACAGTCACTTGTTTGTTCCTGAATAAATCAGTTTTTTGTACAAATGTTGTAGCTGTTATAATAAATAAAACTCACAGCTAAAATAATTTGAAATCCATGTTGTCTATAATAGGCTACTGAGCCAAAACTCCTACAGTCACATCAGGTGAATAGAAGGTCACCATGAAGTACAAGGCCAAAGACAATCATTCTAAAGACGAGTATTTTTTAAACAAATCTCTCATGATCTGCCTTCATCCCTATAGCAAACAGATCATACGTTACAGCAGAGAAGGTGGATGAGAGACTGGACTCATAGAACAAAAGCACTGCAAAAAATCAATTTGGCTTTGGCACATTGTAATTGTATTAATCCTTAAAACTCATCTCACTGGAGTTAAGCCTTCTGCACTGATCTCATGTGTCGACTGGCTCTGGTGCACAGTCCCGTGGAGAAAGCCATTGTTCGACACGCATATGTTAGCATAATATTAGGTCTTGATCCTCCTGTGTGTCTGTGGGCAAGCTAGATTCTCCCAGGTTTCATTAGGCAGAGAAAGCATGCGTGCTGCCCAAAACTTTGCTGAATACAATATGATCTCCAACTGTTAGTATCCTCAGGACTCAGAGTAAGTTGCTTCAAAGAGCAGCTGTTAGTCTGCTGCATGGCCCTGCACAGCTAAACATAAACCTAAATGAATGTCAACCACTTGAATATTAAATACTAGTTTGCAGTACTTAATTAATAAATTGAGTTTTGAAAGTTAATCAAAAACAGATGAGCCATCATAAGAAAATGCAGGCAAATTTTGAATTAATTAAAAAAGCATTTTTAAATACCACACACAAAAGAGGTGCAAATGTTCCTGTCTTCATTTGCATTTTACACACAAATGACAGATCAGTGAAGAATAACAACCCACCATAGGGCAAGTAAGTGGCAACATGACAAAATGTTATGACAAATTGATTATTTGTGTTGCATGAAGGATGTAGCTGCCTTTTTCTTCATGCACTTAGCTCCATAAGTAACTAAATAAGTCATTTGCTACTTGGCAAGCTTTGCATTCCTCCTTCTGATTCTGTATCAACTCTATCTGATGTGGTTAATTTGTCAAGAGGATCAGAATTACCTCTGTTGAAAATATTAAGGCATTATACTGAATATTGAAACTGGATGACTAACAATAAAGGAAATGGGCAACTTTTTACTAGAGCAAAAAGATTTTCTCCATTTCAAAGGTCAAACACAATCTCTGGGTTTACAGAAATAAGTATTTATGTAAATTGAAAGCTACATTATCAGTGACAGCAAAAACAGCAGTTTTGTTGCAACGTTCAGATGCTTGGTGCATAGTCAATACCACATTTGATCTAATACATCATTTCTTCTTCAAACATTCAGAATAAAGAGAATAAGATTTGCTTACTGCATTGTGATCCCCCAGCGATTTTTCAATCAGTGTCCCAAATATGGTGGGCTGCAAAAGAAAGTAGAAAATCAATCGATCGATCAATCAATCAATCGAGGAACAAAAGTTGACAGACAGGTCATGTGGAAAGTGTAACAAGTTTAAGTTTCCTTCAACATTAAATGAGGATGTATAAATATCACATGATAGTTGTCATGATCACAGGCGATTCAGACAGCTCACAGATAAGCCAGATTCAAAGCTGATACAAAGTCATTAGACAAAAGTTAGTTACTGCAAACTCAAGTTACATAAGGGCTCAAACTGCTTACATAGCTTTGAAAACAGAACACGACACAATCACACTATTCACATCCACTTATTTATACAAAATTTTCAGGATATTAAAGCTTAAAGATCGTTGACCATTACATTATTGTTTGCCTTTAACTGAGCTTTGCATAATGATTTATTAATCATATTTTGCATACCACAGAAGTATTTTTACTGCACAGCCAATATGCATCAGAACAATATTATGGACCGTCCTAGTATATCTATATCATTTCCCATGCTTAGTGGAATGTGTCAAGATATTTACACACGACATACTGCAAAAGTGACATGGACTCAACGATAAAACTGGGAAAAGAGATGCTGACCATTTAATATGTGAATGCTTTGTTTTATCAGCTTTATTGAACCATTCCATAAGTAAGCAACCACCATGGCCCAACATCAACCTTTGAGAGAATAATGAATAAATCAGACTGATTTATTAGTGTTACAGATTTCAGTGTTACTGCAGTAGAGTAATTTCCCCCAGTACAACATGTTTCCTGAGGCTGTTGTCCAGAACACAGAACGCTTCGACTCTAACAACTCTTGTGATATTTAATGAATATGGCTAAGGAATAATGACCATAATAAAAGAGCAGAATCCATTACTCGTGTGAGCAGGTGTGTATGTCAAGATTAATGGAAATTGTGTGACTGTAATACAGACATAGGAGAAAGAGGAGCTTGTTTGGCTAATTAAAGTCTAGAGCTTCAAATAACAAATGAGACAACATAGAAAGCATCTCACCCCACAAGTCCATCGGTCAGTGATCCAAAGCTATTAACGAAACAACAGTGCTGCATTACAGCACCCGGTGGCTCCGGCAGAGAATGAGAAAATGACAATAGGCAGCAAAGCAAGTCATGCATGTAATTAAAACCATTCCACTAATACAACGGCTGGAATCATAATGGACTACACTAACAATCCTTCTTCCCCTGCAAACTACTTGAGTTGCAAGTCCTGTCTTGCATTTATTGTAGTTGGCCAGGTCAGAAAGGTAATCCGTGTTGACTTAATCGGAAGGATGTTTGGAGTTTGGCACAGCTGGAAAGTATGTGATCTCATGGATAAACTGAGGGTTGGATCATTCATCGGCCTATTAATTATAATCTGTCTTCAGTCCCACATCCTGTTTTTAATACCATATTGTCAAGCTCAGCATGAATGGTAACACTTCACGACAAGGTTAACATTAGTTAATGCAATATCTATCTATCTATGCATGTGTGTGTAGCCGTGCGATAATACAGTTTATATGAAATAGTATAGTATACAGTATAGTGGCATAAGTAGTATATTTATAATATAACATTAACCTAGAACAATATATGCTGTCAAAATATTGTTGATTATTTCATGAGACCTAAAGTATAAACTAATGTTAACAAAATGAGTGTTATTGTAAAGTGTCTTAACGAAAGCATCAGGGACTTTAATTTCAAGCCACCGTGCTTCTTAATACTTAGAGGACTTGGCTTTAACACATTGTGTTTGCTTCAACAACTGCCAAGCATGTCCAGGGCTGCTTTAAGGCAAGATTCAAGTTTTCCGGTAATCTTCATAATCTTCAACCATGCAAACAACTCAGTCTGAAGGGCAGAACAGGAACCCGTCGTCATCAGGTGCTAGGAACCAGACATTTCTCACACAGTTTGCTCATTGGAACATCAGTCCCTGGCACTGAAGGAGCTAAACAGTGTCTACTGAGGTTTCTGCTTTAATGGAAACACTGGGGGAATCCATGCTGCTGCCACAGGTGCACCAGACCCCTCTAATCACACAGATGATTGCCTCTTCTGTCACACCGACGTCTGTGTGAAAAACAGATGCTCACCTATATGTTATCTCAGGAAACTGCACTCCCTATAATTCAAGAATCAACTATTCACTCTGCAAATATAGTGACAAATAAGACCAGCATAATGAAATCATCCTCCGACTGCCGTTTAAACTGTCAAAGCATAAACTCAACTCATCAGGTTGATTACAAGCTCCTTCTGTGTGTTTTAAATAAATGATTGACTGACTGCTTTTAACAACTTGACTTGAGCTTGTGAAACAATGTGAAGCTTGGTGAGCTCGAGTGAAATGTATACTATATGAATGGAATTAACAGTAAAAAGGGTCAAAGAAAGATTTCTCAGATGAATCGATCTCCAGTTTATTTCAGATTTAGACTTTAGACAGACAGGTCTGAATCAATCCACAGCATTGACTTATAAATCTCTGTCTGAGAGCAGACAGTTGAAGGATGTCTGGCAGGTTTGAAAGTTGTCGATTAGTCATCCTGAAGTGTTGTGTCTCTTCTGGGATTCATACATCAATTCACATTGCAATCGTGCTACCAGGGCCGGATTTACGCATAGGCATTCTAGGCATGTGCCTCTGCCCGCTCTTCCAGGGGGGCCCAAACACAGTGAAGAGATATATAACATTTTTGTTATACTATGGGATATCTACAACAGTAAAAGAACCAAAACCCCAGAAGACATTGAGCAAATAAATATAACAAACAATAGGGTAAAAATGACAAACTATTTTCATGTCTTCACCCTTTTTTATGTACGGAAATCATGCTTTTCTCCTCTCACAGATGCACACATAGTACAGACACGCACTCACGCACACACGTGGAGACGCAAACAGAACCTCGTTGTCAGAGCTGCGGCTGCCCCGTGAATTTATCAATAAAATAGTTTCGCAGCTGAAAAGCTATACATGACATTTCTCAGTAGCGAGGTTCTTGAAGCAGTTCAACTTAAAGATTCACTATTAGTAGACGCTGCTACTGAATACTGCTGAGAGACGCACAGACGCAAGTATTCACACGCACTTAATCTCTCTCTCTCTCCCTCTCTCGCTCTAATAACTGCATTAGACTGCATTAATAACTGCGTTAGCCTGCATATCAATGGCTAAAGCCTCTGTTATTAGCTCTAAAATTACGTTTTGGAATTTTCAACGGAAGGTTTGGGATGATGTGCGTAAAAAATTATCTAGTTCAACACACACGAGATTTCAGGACAGAAACATGTCAAATGTCTTGAAACATCATCTGAACAATTGATGTGTGATTGTGTCTCCAGGCCGTTAAAATTATTAGAGAAATAATGCACTCCCGTAGTGGTTATTATGTGGCCACGTCGCCTATTAATGGAATGGTCTTTCTCAGTTCTCAAACAAATTAAGAACTAGGCTACACTCAACCAAGCGCTTGTTGCGATAGAAAAAACACTAACGGTTTCCACGGATTAAGAAATATTTTTGTTTGCTTGGGTGGTAATATTAGGCCTATTATATTAATAAGGAAGGGGGGCCAAACAAAATTTGTTTTGCCTATGTCACGAAAGGGGTAAATCTGGCCCTGCATGCTACTCAAACTGAAGATATTTCTGAAATCATGCGAACACAAAATCAAAGAAGCTTAGTACTAGAGCCTGAAGAAACAGCCCGCTTAAACATCCACTTAAATACATTTTTCAGCAAGGATACATTAAATCAATCAAAAGAGTCAGTAGACATTTATAATGTTACAAAAGATTTCTATATTGAATAAATATTGTTCTTTTGAAAATATTCAAAGAAACCTGAAAAAATACATATATCCACAAAATATTAAGCAGCACAACTGTTTTCAATAATAATAATAAATGTTTCTTGAGCACCAAATCAGCATATCAGAATGATTTCTGAATAATCATGTGACACTGACAACTGCTGAAAACTCAGCTTTTCCATGACAGAAATAAATTACATTTTAAAATATAGTAAAATAATAAAACCGTTATTTGTAATATTAACAGTAATATTACACAATATTACTGTTCTTACCGTATTTCTTTATCAAATAGATGCAGCCTTGGTGAACATAAGAGACTTTGGTAGAGAGAGACTATCTGAAACATCAATAAACAAACAAAACAAAAAACAGTTATGTATATTACTCCACCTTATCTTGGTAACTCTGCTATCAGACACTTTCAGGTTGTATGAAATAATCATGGGATTTTTACATCAGCAAATAGAGGATTTCTACAAAACATTCAACCAGTAGCAAAACATTCAATGGGGGACGTAGGCGTCGTGCAAGACACATGAACTTCGTGACTCCCACTACAAGTTACACCCACTATCAACCACCCTACCTGAGAGACACTGAGAAACAATCCCAGAATCCCTAACACACAAGTCTGTGATAAGTGTTGATGAAGCTTATATTATTTACATGGCTGTCAAAGTGAAAGCGTTTTCTTATTAGATTAATGAAATATGTTTGCATGACAATTTTGCGGTTGTCTTATCTCAGTATGGAGCACTGAGAACACAGGCATATAAGTTTCCTTCAGACCGTGTCCAATACATAACACATAACAGTTAGCTGCATTCTGGCATACATGCTGCTAAAAAGGACAGTGCTGCCTCTTCTAGAGAGCGGTGTTTTTGAAGTAAAAGAAATAAGCACAGGAGACTCAGCTGCTTACTGTAACTCAATATGACCCAGTGTGCGATAACTTCAGCCGTGTTTATGTTGGGTCAAAGGTGAGCTCAAACTCACACTTTAGTGGCAAGCAGCTGCTATTAAAAACACTCATGGGTGTGTGTGCCTGTGTGTGTGAGTGAGTGAGTGAGTGCTTCAGCAGCATCTCAGATTCATCTCAGATTCCAGCACCTCAGATTGCTAAAGATAAACAAACTAAAAAAAAAAAAAAAAGTGGTTCTGGAATCCCTCCTTAGTCATATGTTTTATGAGCATAAAATATTTTCAGTTCTATCTGAGACCCAGACCATAACTCATTAACATATGCATGTTCAAAGTCAAAGTCAGCTTTACTGTCATAGTTAACACACTACAGAGGAAAAAGAAAAAGAAATGTGGTTCCTTCAGGAAATTGCAGCGCTGTCATGACACAAATATTACACAAGTAAAATAGTAAACAGACATTAAATACAGACAATAAGTAACAGTGCTAGACAGGAAACAACAGACGAAGGCATTACAATAGTTGAATAATGGATATGTATATATTACTAATATATTTCATTTTTAAATAAATTCAAATAGAAGAGAGATTTAAAATCGTAATAATACTACACAGTAACAAATACCAACCCAAACTTTTGAACAGGTGAAATATAATTATTACTTTTATTAATCATTAATTATACTTTATTGCCTACTAGTGAAGGCATTTATGTCAGATTGAATGAATATACATTACTGTCAATATAATATGGATTACACATTATAACATATTATGTGGTCTTGTAATCACAAATACAAATGCAAAAAAGTGATGTTCTTTTGAGTGGATTAATCAGATTTTTTCTTGCCACTCAATGCATCTTGCCTGTGAGTATAGAATTAGGATCAAAATGAGTTATTCCAAAACCAGTCAAACACAAATAATGGTAACACTTTACAATAAGGTTCATTAGTTAAACATTAGTTAATATATTAACTAACATGAACTAACCATGAGCAATACATTTGTTACAGTATTTATTAATCTACGCTAACGTTAGTTAATAAAAATACAGATGTTCATGTTAGTTCACAGTGCATTAACTAATGTTAACAAGATTTTAATAATGTATTAGTAAATGTTGAAATTAACATTAACAAAGATTAATAAACGCTGTATAAGTGCAGTTCATTATTAGTTCATGTTAACTAATGTAGTTAACTAATTAACCTTATTGTAAAGTGTTACCCAAATAATGTGTAACGGGCAGACAGTTTCCCGCTGGCATGGAATCTCACACAGGTCAGGACAAGTGCAAGCTAATTAGGCCAGCCATCCAATTCTTAATCAACTGGAGTAGAGGCTTGGCAGAGATCTGTGCGTGAAACACAACAACTGCATGCAGTGGCATAATGAGGGTCCGTTAAATCCTCATCCTCTAGTGACATGGAGGGGGAAAAAATCAATACTTTCCCGTTTTTAGCATCTCACCGTAGCACGTTTGTGCAGAGCACATGCCTGATTTATGCGGCCTAGCAGACATGCTAATGTTTTAAGGCCAATCAAAGTTCCAGTGACGGTCGATGCCGTTATTATGCGTTCAGCAACCTTTGGTATTGATGTAGGCCTATTGCTTTTATCCAAGCTGTCATTTTAACAGGTGTAAAATATGTTACAGCTAGTATGCCGCTATAGTTCCCCTTATGTGCCCGCTGACCTCTTAATTAGTCGAGTGCAAAGTGTCATCATTTAGATGTGAACGGACCACATCTGGTGTGACCAATACATAATCCAATAACACTGTATAATAATATAAAGGAAAGAGATTTGATAAATCAAATCACAGAGATTAGAGCATTTGATTTAACCCTTCATCCTCTCAGCAGCAAATCGTGAATCTTTTCAAAACTACAAATGTTTTATGGAGTTGCATCTCCACTATATAAATAAATTTTATTTTTGCTACATAAAAGTAACAAAAGATATTACAGATATTATATAGATATTATATAAACTAAATATTCATGTAACAACACCTCATAAAGAGCTCCAATTGTTTTAAAAAATAAGTACATGCATAATTTTTTTTTTATTTAGTTTTACTCTGCATAATGTACATATTCTAGGGCAAGGTAATAAATATGTAGTGCCATTTACTAAGCATTTTATGAATCTCACCGAATTAAGCACTCAAATCAAGCGATCATATAGCTAACAATATGAAGAAAGTGAAAGTGAAGTGACATGTGGCCATACTCAGAATTTGTGCCCTGCATTTAACCCATCCAAGTGCACACACAGCAGTGAGTAGCGAACACATACACACACCATGAACACACACCTGGAGCAGTGGGCAGCCATTTGCTGTGACACCCAGGGAGTAATTGAGGGTTCAGTGCCTTGCTCAAGGGCACCTCAGTCTTGAGTATTGAAGGTGGAAGAGAGCACTGTACATTCCTGCCGGTACTGAGACTCGAACCCACGACCTTTGGTTTACAAGTCCGACTCGTTAGCCCACGACTGCCCAAGAAAGTTTAAAAAAATCGAAAAAAGAACAGCTGTGTGCTAAACCTGAGGCTTCCACAGTAGATACAGAAGAACAAGGGAAAGGAATTTACATGGAATCAGTGTCTTCGGCCCACTGAAAGGTTTGCTTGCATAAACATACTTCCCAATTATATTATTGTATTAGTGGTTTGAATATTACGTTACAGTAGGTGTTATTTGCATTTACCAATAAAATGTATTGCGATCATGTGTTGGTTATAATAGAAATGTTGTGCACTCTAGCCCTCCAAGAGTTTGGACATTCTAGACAAACCGAGGTTTTGGACAATATCAGCAGAAATCTTTATCAAATATTAATGCAAAGTAACTTATCAAATAATAATACTGAAGACCAGCAATAACGATTTCCTGTTTGAGTACATAATAAAGGCAATAAATACAGTACCATTCAAAAGTTATATGTTTTTTGTTGTTGTTGTTGATTGTTTGTCGCTTATCAATGTAAAGTCATCACTAAGTAAGGATTTATGCTAATATTGTCCAAATCCTCTATTTGCCAAGGGAGTTTCCAGACTTGTGTGGTGTTCTTTTCATGGTCCTGTCGAAGTATAAAATATACATATATTAAATTAAAAGCTCCGCTTTGTCTTGATTAGTGAGGAATATGGTTTGATCACACAAGCAAAAGCAGTCACGCTAATCTTCCACTGGCAAAAAGGGGTGAGCTCATAAAGGAAAGGGTGCAACCAAAAACACAAGCCCAGTCCAAGGAGCCTTTTGATGTCAAAGAAACCACAGAATGAAACACGAGACCCCCGTAATGCTAGTCTCATACACCCAGGCCACAGTCCTTGTTTACCTTCTGTGAGAACTTTTTTTTTTTACTTAAAACTTCAGAGTAATTAAAGTTTGAGGCAGATTTCATGGGTCTAATTATTGTTGTCACTGCATAAATGCCCCTTTATGTCACTTTTTAATGAAGTGCTTTTATTACAATTTGGCTCTGTGAGCCAAGTGTAAGAGTCAGGTGAGTCTCATCAAAAGCTTTTGCAACACAATCCATCCGCCACATTCCCATCAGTTTTTTTTTCTTTCTGAACACGGCACCTTGCCTCAGAAAAAAAAAAAAAAAAAACTGGCATCAAATGCATAGTATCAAAAAGTCAGATAAACCCAGTCGACACGGCTTGCGGTTGAGCCTGGGCACGGCTGCCTTGAGAACAAGTGGAGCACAAGCTGACAGAAAGAGAATCTGAATTTGGGAAGATGAAAGTCGTGTTTAAGCATTCCTAGACGCTCTCTTCAGAAGGACCGTGAATGTATATGTGCGCGAGGATCAAAGCCTTGCCTCCAGTGCCGGGCTGATGGTGGAGTGTGTGGGGGCCACTGAGGTCCCTGTGTTAATGGGGACAGGGAGGGAAGAGCTCTGGGCTTTGATGGAGAGCTTGCGCCTGATCCCCCATCACTGCTGTATTGTCTGAAGAGCAGGGACAGTGGATCAGGCTACAGACTCACTATATGAAGTGCTGTGGTGTCACGCTGTTCACACAGGTGTTAAAAAAAGACCTTCTTCAACTCTTCATTAGACAGGCAACATCATGAGACTGAATGAAGTGAGAAATGATTAGATGTTGCTTTCAAGCAAACAAATGGTCTGATGAGTCATTTTCTCCATATTAAAATACCCGTATGCACGCTTAATTGGATAATTCACCCAAGAATGTCAATTCTGTCATCCTTTACTTACCCTCATGTTGTTCTAAAACCATTACACTTTTGTTCATCTTTGGAAGACAAATTAAGGTAATTGCGGTATTCTTTCATCATATTTTGTCCATTTTGTACACCAAGTAATGAAGATCTTATGGGTTTGGAATGATATGAGGGTGAGTAAATGAACAACTACAAATCAGTCATTCACAGCTTCATTTCTCAGAAGAGTGTGTTTGTGTGGCTCTGTGATGCTTTCAAAACATTGGGCTTCATTCACTAATAATTTTAAGAACTTTTGCATTTATGCACACAGGAAAAAGCACTCATGCAAAATTTCCTTCAGATTTACAAAAGGTTTGTACCAACACAAATGAGTTTTTACACTCATTCCAATGTTGATGAATTACGACGTCGTTTCAATTGGTTCTAAACTTTTATTTGAAAAATTATTTATAGCCAATATTAGTATTTTAGCTATTTGAAATCATACACTGCAGCTTTAAACACAGTTTTTCTCTCGCTCTGTGAATAGAATTCAGGTGTGCAATGCGGTATGTATAAATATACGTTTGATGTATTTTAGGTCTGACTGTCAAAAATCAGTGGTGGGAAAATATCAGTAATGTTTCCTGCCTCAAGGTAACTGCAGCTTGTGTTCCAAAATCAATAATTCCTGTTCCCTATAGGACATGACACAGAGAAGAGACTCAGATGGAGAACATACCCGTTGTTTGGTGACATGCCTCAGTCCGATGTGTGGCTGACTCCTGCACTGTGGAGGGAAAAAAGAGAGAATTTATTGCTCTAGTATACACACAAAGCTTGAAAAGACTTTGCTTTCTCACTTTCCAAAAATGCTTCAGAGAACAGTGAATATAATCTGGACTGAAATTTGTAGAAGTATTATAAACTGCATGACAGTTGTGAACACAAATCAAACATGGCAACCACACAAAGGTCATATGAACAGAAAACATTACATTTGACAGTACAGTTGTTTTCCTAGAACTGTACTCAATACACACTCCCAGAAAAAAAGGTACAAAAGCTGTCACTGGGGCAGTACCCTTTCAAAAGGTACTAATATGTACATTTTAGGTACTAATATGCACCCTATTGAAAAGGTACCGCCCCAAAGTCTTTTGATCAGTGAGTGAGTTTAAAAACTCAACCATCAACTTACCATCTTCACCTAAAAATAATTGAAAACAATTATTAGGGCAGTATGGCAAAATAAAATAAAAAATTAAATGCTATATTTTTTTGGAAAAATTATTTGAGCCCTAATGTTAGAACTGCAATATATATATTTTTTGGGGGGAAATTATTTGAGCCCTAATGTTAGAATTGCAATATATATATATATATATATAATTTTATATATAGTTTAATGTTCCTAAAAGCCAGAATACAGTAAACAACTACACAACATATCTTAACAGATTTTGAAAACACTTGGCATCACACTGTAGAACTTTGTTGTACAGAGAACAACTGGACATCACACACTATCAGACTTTGAAGTTGTTCCAAACACAATCTCACACAGAAACATGCACCTCATTGCTTAGAGATGCAGGACAAATGCAAATGAGTCCTAAAATCAGCTCAAAATATCAAATGTGTTTGATATTCTGCGGCTGGATAGTCTTAATCTAATTATACACTAGACAATATACACTATATACACTATACTATACATTTTATGTGTGAAATCTATCAAATTAGACTAATTAAAGAGTCTGTGGGAGCTGCTTCTTCCGGGGGTTTTTTTCTGTTTTGTTTGCAAGTATGTTGAGCTTTTTGAAACCTGTATATCACATTTCAAACGTGACGTGTGAAAGCAAACAAGCTTGGATTTTCTTTCCAAAGATGAGGCTCATAAACGAAAGTCAGCAGTTGAGTCTGTCACTGCTCAGAGCCTGCACTTCACCAGCTGCACAAACACACACAAAAATACCTTAACTGGCTCAAATCATGATACCTCCTCACAGAACCAAAAATTACCCTTCGTCTACTCACACACACAAACCACTAAACCACTCTGACAACCTCACTTAACTCATGTCTAAAGATTTAAACACTGACCTGAACCAGAGACCACCACTCTCTTTATTGGTGGGACAAAGCAATTACCAGGGAAACAGTTGATTTTTCGACTCTAGAGTGAATTTATTCAGCTGATGTAGACATAACATAGGGCCTGGGATAACAACACCTGCTCCAACCCATCAAAGATGATGGACATTTCCACAAGAGCTGACATTTAATTTACCTAATAGGCAAATATAAAATGAAAAATAAACCATTAGGATCCAAATCAATTACACAATAGAACAGAAACCAGTTACCATGTAAATTCATCAGTAAACTCAATATCTGAGAGCGAGACCCATGCACAAATCATGAGAGGAGACAGACAATTGCTAACAGAAACCACGTCACATAAGAGAACTTCATTATGAGGGAGCCCGGTTGCCTAGTTACCACAGCAGCCTGCTACGTGCATGTTTTTGGGCTGGTCTACATAATCTATGTCACGCTCCATTGTGACTGCAGCAGCCTGAGAGGCTAAACGCCTCCTTTAGGTAAAGCGTGTGTGTGTGTTTTAATGTGGGAGAGCATTCTCCAGGTCTTTGGCTAACATGGGTGATTACGTGCACAAGTGTTCAGGGGACTGAAATCTGCATGCAGGGAATCAAACATATGTTGGTTTTGTTCAAAAAGTCGCCTACCTGTATGTCATTTTAAGACATCATAAGCGCACACTCGACATGAAGGCTGTTACAAACGGTGCCCCATTTTGGCCAAATGATCAGGTGCCTCATTTTTGTAACCACTGCATGCGTCTTTCATGGAGAAACCCAGAATGCACAGCATCCAAGGCAGGGAAACAATTAGTCAAAAATGGCGGATGAAGTGAGAGCAATACTGATTATAAATGTAATTCATTCAACACCTAAAAGTATTTAAAAATATTTTAAATTCAGTCTAATGGCAATTTCACTTAATATGTACTTTTACACTTAGAATGGCATGATTTTATCCCACTAACAAGTTAAATTCAAATCCCGCAGTCAATTTCATTGGTCAGCTCAATCAAGCAGTCACCTGATAGGAAAACATTTTTCTAGACTTTTCTGGAGTCAGTCTAGAAATATCATGGATGAGTCTGGTCATAACAAACATTAGTCTATCTATTAGGATGTGTCTATTAATGTTAGGGGTTAGTATTTGTTGCAGGGTTTGCACTGAGGGGGGGGGGGGGGGGGGGCAATTCAGACTGTGCAATTGTCATTCACATGAATGAACACCGATTTGCCTCAAATTGCAGGCTTTTGTTGGCGATCACCAGAAAACAGTGAGTGAAAATTGTGCCCAAAATCATATAGTGTGTATATCCGGCATAAGGATCGTTGTTGCTGCTTTTAAACTTACATTTTTTCAGTATTGCAGGGTAGCACTGTTCATGCACCTTTTTATAGAAGCTGGGTTTTTTTAGGTATTCATAACCCGTGAGTAGCAGCTACAGTATCTCAAGGACATGGCGGATGACAACTAGTCTGATCTTACATTTCTGGTTAAAAGAAATGAGAGGAGATTAAAAGGGGTTGTGAATCTACAACAGCAATACAGCAGATATCCGAAACGTGTCATTTGTAGTCTTATTTATAGCTTTATTTCTAGGGTTCCTGCATTTAATACACATTTAATACACATGTGAATTCCAAAACAGTTGTCAACGCTACGATTTTCTGTCTGACTGTGGTGAGAGTTTAATAGATGGAGCAGAAAATAAGTTTAAATCCTTTAATCTCAACATATTCTTTAATTGAAGTGAATGCTCAATTTGTCAACATTTATAATAATAAAGAGTATTTTTGTATCTGATGGTGCTGATCCATAACAAATTTTCCATTTGCTTTTAAATGTAAAATTTGACTAACATTACAAACTTTTTTTTTAAATCCAATACTCCCTGGATAGAAATCATGTTACATTAGAGTCAACTAAATGCAAATATAGAATGCAAATGGAAGACTGCAGCTTGTGTTTTTAACATTTTCATTAAATATGTGTGGTTGAGAGGGGGTGCTGACATCATTAACCCGATTAATGGCAAGAACCAAACAAACCATACCCCAGACTGAGAAGATAATGTGAAATCATTTACATGCAAGACACAAATGTCAAGGACATCGAGGATCAAATGAGCATATATGAGCAGAAACCCAATGAAGTGCTGTAATTAATGCAATCAATAAATACAGCATGACCATTAGTTCAGTGGCTCGTCTAAAATTAAAAAATGTAATTCTGGAGCACAGTGTTTAATTATACAGCATCATTGCATTATTGTAATGTACAGAGCCAAAAGGTCTATAATACGTAGATCGAGTTATTTGTTAACATTCCCATTCATCTCAATGGCAGTTTCTTGCTAAGTACAAGACCGCCCAGGAAGTATGTGATTTGCCCTCTTTACATTTAGATTAGAGCTGTGCAATTAATCGAAATAGTTTCGATTTTGGCTTCCAATGATTATGAAAATACAATAATCAAGATTAAAAACAATTATTGTGGCCCATTCCACCCCTTTCTTACAGTGAAGAGAGTATGCTGTTTTATTTTACATTCAATTGTAGTAGGCTGTTAGCTGAATACTTTAGACTTGCATAAAAAACTTTAAGCACTGTTTGTTTCATTTGTATCTTTTTTTCCATTGTATTTGTCCTTTGCTTTTTTGTTTTTATTGTATTATTGGCTGTTTAATTAATTAAATAAATCACTAAAGTTTTGGTCATAAATGGCCCACTCATAATTGTGTTAAATAATCGTGATTACAATCTTGACCAAAATAATTGCGATTATGATTTTTGCAATAATCAAGCAGCCCTACTTTAGATCCAGCTACAGTAGGCTAAAATGGGTCATGCTAACAAACCAAACCTTGAACCTTTAAATGTCCAGCAGTCATTACTCCAGCCTTCAGTGTCACATGAACCTTCAGAAATCATTCTAATATTTATTATTATCAATGTTGAAAACATCTTTGCTGCTTAATATTTTTGTGTTAATTCATTTATTCAGGATTTTTTTTTCTGAATAAAAAATGTATAGGAACAGCATTTATCTAAAACGAATATATTTTTTGTAATAAATGTCAATTTTTTGCTGAATTTAAGTATGTCTAAAAAAAAAAATTACTGACCCCAATCTTTCGAATGGCAGTGTATATATTTCTCTTGAGGGACTTTGAAATGTTATATAAAGGAGTAAATCTGTTGATAATAATGCTTTCATAGCAACAACTGCTTTGGAAACACTTGTAGATAATCAAATACCAAAGTGTTTCTTCATCAGGGTCAAACAGAGCTATGCAGAATATTTCAGAGCACTGACAGAATTTGCTGACAGAATTAATATAAATATTTTCTTAAAATCAGTTCAACTATCCAAACAGGAGGTATATTACCACATTATCACGTACCATCTCCTTTCGCTCCGTTCTTTTTGAAACACATGAGCACCAGCACTTACATAAAGCTGACCTTGGCTAACACAGCCTGTTGAGGCTGGTAAAAGTGTGGACAGCACAGAGGAAGCCGCTCCATCCAGCGGACATCCATTTGATCAGTGTCAGGATGATGGAGTGCGTGGCTGTCATGGGGATGAGATACGGCAGACTGAGGTCCCATCTGATGTCCTGACTGTATCTGCTCACCCCTGGCCTGCCCAGCTGTGAGTCCTCCTCTCTCACAGTGTGTGACA